AAAAAAAAAAAAAAAAAAAAGGATTTTACCTTTGGGATTATGTAACATGTTTCTTAGCTGCATTTTTCTGTTGCTTTTTTGCAGTTAGTTTGTGATAGTAAAGCTTGTCTGAATCACTCTGACCCCTTGTTCACAGAACTTAAAAGCAAGTTGAAACTAGACTCAGATTTTCTGGAGTTACTGATTAAATGCTGATGTTAATCTGAAATGTGTTATTTATCTGCAATATATAATATGCTTTGGTTCAGAGACGTTCTGGAGTCTCTTGTATATTTAAGAAACAGGATTTTTAAATTTTAGAGCAGATTCAACTGAAAACTCTCCTGGAGAAGCTGCAGGTCTGCCTCTCTCTAGCATAGTTTTTACAGTATAACTGTTGATATGAGGAGGTGAGATGGAGCATTTTTGCTCTTAGAACATTTTGTATAGCAACCCCTAAATGTATCTGAGGTTTTTACTAAGACAGTGGTTGCATTTCATCCCTCTTAGCATAGTGTGAAGTTAAAAAACTTTTTTTTTTTTGCTTTTTAGATATAGAATTACATAAAGATACAAATAAATAAAAAGGACTGTTCTAATCAGAGATGTTTTCTTGTTTTATCACTTCCGTACCACTTCAGTCTGGAGGCACAACTCGGAGCATTTAATGTTTCCCGATGTTTGCCAGGTAAGACGGAGATGAAACTCAAGCAAGTTCTCCGGGTAGTCTAATAATGCTTGAGGAAATAATATATTAATTCAAGTTGGCTGAATTCCAGTGGGTTTATAAATGTTTGCCTGCTACTGATGTTGACTGGTTTTCCAGAACTCATTTGTTCTTTGCTCACTATTTGTTCTTTAAGATTTCCATCCATTGATGATAAAAACAGATGTATCCTAAAATCTCTCATTACTTAACTTTTATATAAATGGTATCTACTTATGGTCAATAACCACAGATTGTATTTAAAATGTTGGAATTTTTGTTCTAAGTGTTAAATTCTGATTTTTAAGAGGAATTAAAAATCAACAATTAACAAGACAGTATACTTAACTTCCTCTCGCACGCTGTTTTCTATCCCAGCCATCTGAAAAAGCTCATACATATGTAAGTAATTTCTTAGCTTTTACTTAATTTTTCAGTCAGATTTGTACAAGATCTCCCTTGTGCTTGCAGGGAGCTGAGGAAACCTGCAGTAGAATATTTTAAGATGGAGTCATCCAAGGGAAAATAAGACAGGAGGCAAGGCAGGGTGGTATCTTAGAGAGACTCACTGGTCCAGAGAGGCATGAGTTTTCAAAGGCCCCAGCATCTGAGGAAGTTGGCTGTTGCCTGTGAAATCTCATACCTCTCTGAATCAGTTTACCTCTAAGGTGTCACGCCACCCTGCCCTGTGTCTGACTTGAGACTAATGCAGCTCACTACCTGCCTCTCCAGGGGCAAATAAGGAGAGAAGTGTGTGATTCAATAGAAAAGATGAATTTCTGTTGAGTAAAATTAAAATGTAGGCAAATCCATGTGCCATTTTAGTGAAGATTCTGCAGTTTCCCTATTTGTAGAAAACCAGTGCATAACATGTCAGAAATTGCATGCTACATAGTGTATTTTGCCATTAGCTCACTAGCTTTCACTGGGACTGTTCCTTACTCCTTCAGTGGATGTGGCCTGTGGCTCCTGTGGGACATGGTATTGTTGGCATTTTGCAGGCCTGCTGTTGCCATTCCTGTGCAGTTTGACTTGAGAATATTTACAAGTTCCACATGCCCAAAAGACCCTGGTAGCGGGGCATGAAGGACCACCAAAGTTCATTCAGCTAGGCTTGGAGCAGTTTTAAAATGTTGTGGAAAACAGGCGTCTGCAGGAAACCGCCTGCTCCTTGGAACTGAGGCATGCTGTGGAAATGAGCGCCTCATCATCAGACAGAGACCTGCAGGTGGGCCGGCCTGGGATTCCAGCTGCCCCCAAGCAGGCGAGAGGATGGCACGTCATGCAGCTCATGGGATCCACAAGGGACTGGCTCTGTGGGCTGGTGGTCAGCTCCCTGCATGGCTCCCATGCTCACCCAGGCATTTAGTACCCAAAGCCATGCGGGGAGCTGGGCAGCCAGCTAAGAGTTTTACATTTCTGACTTTTTGGTCCATTTCAGGAGAAATTTGTTTGGAAATGCAAAGTTTTCCATAGGAAGGAACTCCCCATTCCTGCCCAGCCCTGCTTTGGCACCTATTCAGCAAACGATTCTTACTGAACAGAGCCCTCCAACCTCTTCTGATATATAATTGAATTTATTGGTACTTAAGAACATGCTTAGGTAAGCACAAGTTGAAGTATTTTATACAGTTGAGGTCATAAAAGAAGCACAGTTTCCTGTAGAGGCTGAGGTGAGACTTTCTTAGGCAGAGTTTTTCTTTTACAACATTAAAACCAGTTGATTTTTCTTTTACCTCAGAGAAACATTAGAAAGAGGTAAGAGAAGAGACGGGAAAGAGCAGAAACTGCTCAGCCTTGGTTTTTGGGCAGGCACGCTTTCTGAGCGACTCATAAGATGTGTGAGCACAGGCACAGTGTTTATGGCTTCCAACAACGTTCTGTGTGCTTTTTCTATATGGATCTTTCAAAATGGGATTTGAGGAGCTTTTCTTCCTTAGCGTTTGTTAAAATCTGCTTATCCAGGGGAATGAGAAAAGCATCCCTACGTGCCGGAGGTTAGGGTAATTTTATGTGGAGATGCCGTGTTTGCAGAAAATCAGAATGGCTTGGCAGACTCTTTCATTTCTGCGTCCTAGGGAGGCAACCTGGATCTTGAATTGATTATTTTACATGGTGTGGCTTCCATTTGGACAAAAAGGGAATTTGCTTAATTTAGAACTGCAAAGCTGTAAAGTAAAATTTATCTCCTTTCTTATCATAAGGAATTTAGGCTGATTTTACTTTATTTTGTTAGACTTCCTTTTAGTAAATGATGAGGACACTATGTAAGAACTGGTAAGAGAAAATAACCTTGAATCCAGTGATGGCAAGTTGATTCAGTATAAAATACATGGAAAGCTAAATAAGAACAGCTCAGTAACTGTGTTTCCATTTCAAAAGGGCAGACTTTGAGAAATTAAGGGAACTGGCTAGTGAAGCTGTCTGGGCTGAAAGGCTTTAATGTGGAGAAGACTTGATTTTTCTCTAACTTGCAAGTGCAAAAACTGTCTGGAATTTGCATCCCAGGGAAGGGGAAAATAAACTTGTAAGAAGGCTCTCCAGATGGAACTGAATAAATGTCTCAAAAAGAATATTATGTATAAGCAGAAAGTCTAGAAAGAGTGGAAAAAGGGATTGATCAACAAAGACAGCTTCATTTTAGAGATTAAGAAGTGTAAGGATAAAGTCAGAGTTGCTGAAAGTCAAGTTGAGTTTGAGTTTGCAAAGGAAATCAACACTATCAGCAAAAGTTCTGTAGCCATATGAATGAAGAGGGAACTGGGAAAGAAGTGGAGCCGTTCTGCACTGAGGATAGAGTAGAATTTAACCATCATTTAGAGGTGGCTCAGACACTAGAACCATAGGATCCTAGGGGTAGAAGGGACCACAAGGGCCATCCAGTCTAACCCTTGCACAGACACACGAGCACTACATCACTGATCCATGGTCAGTGCCCGTCTTGTCTCCTGAAAATTGACAGTGAAGGAAATCTTGCCACTCCCCTGGATGGTGTGTTCCACTGTCTCACTGCTCTGACAGAAAAGGAAGTTTCTCCTGATATCTAATCTAAATGTGCTTTGCTGATATATGTTGATAAGTATGGTAATGGAGAACATGAGAGCAAAGGCAGGATGGCAAATGGAAGCAAGCATGTGGAAACAGCAATTACCATGTCCAACGGCAAGGAAAAGTTCAGAGCTGAATACTCCTGGTTCGGAAGGACCAAATATTCCAACATACTGGAAGGAAGGGCACATGGAAATGCGGAACACATCTAACTGATTGGGGGTCCTGTCGTCTGAGTGGTGGGACAGTGATTATAATACCTATATTTAAGAGAGGGCATTGGGGATCTAGAGACGTGCCAGTGTGACATCAAGGGTATACAAAGTTTTAGATGAAATTTTAGAGGTGAGCTACTTAAAGACATGGGGATGGACAGAAAAGGGATCAAATGTAAATGTAGCCTTGGTTTAGCAGAGGTGTACCATGACAATTTCACCCTGGTATCTGTATTTGATAAGTGATGTTCTTTGATTAAGAGGAATGCAGTGGATCTAACGT